CGCATTCACCAGTTTATTATAAATGATATTACAGCAGTCAGGCGCGGTGGCTCACACCTGTAATCCGAGCACTTTGGGAAAAGGCCAAAGCAGACGGATCATTTGAGGTCAGGGGTTCAACACCAGCCTGGCCAACATGGTAAAACCCTGTCTCTACTAAAAATACAAAAGTTAGTTGGGTGTCGTGGGGCCTGCGTCTGTAATCTCAGCTACTTGGGAGGTTGAGGCAGGAGAATCCCTTGAACCCAGGAGGTGGAAGTTGCAGTAAGTCGAGATGGCGCCACTGCACTCCAGCCTGGGTGACAGAGACTGTCTCAAAAAAGTAAATAAATAAAGATATTACCAAGGATACAGACACTTGCTGAAAAGGGGCTCGGAGTGTCAATGCCCTCTCCCAAGTCCCACCTTCAGAATCCTCCACGTGTTTACCTATTCAGAAGCTCTTCAAATCCTTTACTTTTAGGGTTTTATGGAGGCTTTGTTACCTAGGCACGATTAGTTAAATCACTGACCACTGGCGACCTACTTTACCTTTAGTCTCTTTCTCTCCCCTCCCTGGGGGGTTGGGGTGACACTCAAAGTCCCAACCCTCTACATCCTGCCTTGTTTTTTTGTTTTTTTTTTGAGACGGGGTCTTGCTCTGTGGTCCAGGCTGGAGTGCAGTGGTGGGATCCGCCTCATTGCAACCTCTTCCTCCTGGGTTCAAGTGATTCTCCTGCCTCAGCCTCCTCAGTAGCTAGGACTACAGGCACACACCACAATGCCCGGTTAATTTTTTTTTTTTCTTTTTTTTGAGACGAGATCTTGCTCTAACACTTGGGTTGGGGTGCAATGGCGTGATCTTGGCTCACTGCAACCTCTGCCTCCCCAGGTTCAAGTGATTCTCCTGCCTCAGCCTCCTGAGTAGCTGGGACTACTGGTGTGCACCATCACACCTGGCTAGTTCAATTTTTTTTTTATGCTTTTGTGGAGGCGCTGAGGCGTGGTTAATCTCACTCTCTTTCACCTAGGTTCAAGTGATTCTCATGCCTCAGCCTCCCAAGTAGCTGGGATTACAGGTGCCTGCCACCACACCTGGATAATTCTTGTATTTTTAGTAGAGGTGGGGTTTCACCATGTTGCCCAGGCTGGTTTGAACTCCTGATCTCAAATGATCTGCCCGCCTTGGCCCCCACAACGTGCTGGGATTACAGGTGTGAGTCACTGTGCCAGGCCTAGTCATGTATTTCTATAAACAATTATATGTGTCTTTTTATTTCATATTTTTTCAAGAAAAATATTAATAAATCTGGCCGGGCATGGTGGCTCACACCCGTAATTCCAGCACTTTGGGAGGCTGAGGTGGGCAGATCGCCTGAGATCAGGAGTTGGAGACCAGCCTGGCCAGTATGGCAAAATCCTGCCTCTACTAAAAATAAAAAAATTAGCTGGTGGCGGGCACCTGTAATCCCAGCTACTTGGGAGGCTGAGGCAGGAGACTCACTTGAACCCAGGAGGCAGAGACTGCAGTGATCCCTTCAGCCTGGGTGACAGGCTCTAAAAAAAAAATTAACAAATCTTATAGAAAACATGCTCTTCCTGGATCCTATCAATGGAACTGGGTAAAAGAAAAAAAAATGTTGTAAAGAGAATAGACAGAATGGCTGGCTATTTGAATTACAATGTACCTGCATTTTTTCTTTAGAAGGCCCTTTGGGGCTCAGCACCGGGAGGAAGCCCCCTGTGGCCTCACAGGTGTGGGTGGAGGCAAAGGATTCACAGGAAGCAATGAGTCTCCACCCCCTCTAGATCCCTACACCTAGCAAACCGTGAATTATTTTCCTAAGGACTCCACAGTATGTAACTCTCAAGGCCCAGCAAACCTGGCCCATCCCCAGAGGAGGTGATTACTGATGGTGCCTCTGTCAGAGGCATTTGAACCGAAGCGACTCCATCTTGAATAGGGACTGGGTAAAATAAGACTCAGACCTTCTGGGCTGCATTCCCAGGAGGTTAAGGCATTCTTAGTCACAGAGGGAGATAGGAGGTCGGCACAAGACACAGGTCACAAAGACCTCGCATGCAGTGAAGAAGCCGGCCAAACACCAAGAGGGTGGTGAGAGTGACCTCTGGTCGTGCTCACTGCTCATTATATGCTAATTATAATTGATTAGCATGCTAAGAGACACACCTACCAGTGACCTGGGTGACCAGGAACTCAGTACTCCTGTGGACCTCCTGCTGCCTCACAGGCTGTATGCAAAGAAATGAAAGCTTCGGCCGGGCGCGGTGGCTCAAGCCTGTAATCCCAGCACTGTGGGAGGCCGAGGCGGGTGGATCACGAGGTCAAGATATCAAGACCATCCTGGTCAACATGGTGAAACCCCGTCTCTACTAAAAATACAAAAAATTAGCTGGGCATGGTGGCGTGTGCCTGTAATCCCAGCGACTCAGGAGGCTGGGGCAGGAGAATTGCCTGAACCTGGGAGGCGGAGGTTGCGGTGAGCCGAGATTGCGCCATTGCACTCCAGCCTGGGTAACAAGAGCGAAACTCTGTCTCAAAAAAAAAAAAAAGAAATGAAAGCTTCAGATCCAGGCAGGTCTAGGTGTGGCCAGCGAGTCCAGGGTCACTTCCTGGGGCCTGACCAGCACATCACAAGGCCCCTGCTCCTGCTGAGAAGGGCCAAGGCTTGGCTTCTGCTATCACTGCCTTGAAATTCTTCACTGTAATTTCTGAGCCAGGGACCTTGTGCTGCTGGAAAGGGTCTCAATCCAGACCCCAAGAGAGAGTTCTTGGAATTTACACAAGGAAGAATTCAGGGAGAATCCACAGAGTACAGTGAAAGCCAGCTTATTAGAGAAATAAAGAAAAAAAGAAAGGCTACTCCACAGGCAGAGCAGCCACAAGGACTGCTGGTTGGCTACTTTTATGATTTTCTTTTTTATTTTTCCTAGTATCTGTTCCTGAATTATATGGTTCTTGATCGTGTGCTAAACAAGGGGTGGATTTTCATAAATTTTCTGGGAAAGGGGTGGGGAATTCCCAGAACTTAGGATTCTTCTTCCATTTATTTATTTGAGATGGAGTCTGACTATGTTGCCCAGGCTGGAGTGCAATGGCGTGACTTCGGCTCACTGCAACCTCTGCTTCCCGGGTTCAAGCGATTCTCCTGCCTCAGCCTCCCAAGTAGCTGGGACTACAGGCATGCACCACCACGCCCAGCTAATTGTTTTGCATTTTTAGTAGAGACGGGGTTTCACCACATTGATCAGGCTGGTCTCCAACTTCTGACCTCAAGTGATCTGCCTGCCTTGGCCTCCCAAAGTGCTGGGATTACAGGTGTGAGCCACCGTGCCTGGCCCCTTTTAGACCATGTAGGGTATGTTGCCATGGCATCTGTAAACTCTCATGGCGCTGGCGGGAGTGTGTTTTAGCAAGCTAATGTATTATAATTAGTTTATAATCAGCAGTTAGGAAGACCAGAGGTCACTTTCTCCACCATCTTGGTTTTGTTGGGATTTGGCTGGCTTCTTCACTGCGTCCTGTTTTGTCAGCAGGCTCCTTGTAACCTGTGTCTTGATCCGACCCCCTGTTTCATCCTATTACTAGGGATGCCTGAACCCACTGGGGTGCAGCCCAGCAGGTCTCAGCTTCAGCTCACCCAGCCCCCATGGAGCCCCTCTGTTCCCACACCTCTTGGCACTTGCATCTGCATCTTGCACAAGGCTCTGAAGATTATGCTTAGTCTTGAATACTGAGCTTTTTCTGTGCCCTTGAATTTCCCTCCTCGGGCGAGTATCTCAGGGCCTCCCTCTAGCCTGCCCTGCTGCCCTCCATCTTTCTGAACAGGAGGCTCTGCAGCTGCGCGGCACTTGGCCAAGACCTTGTGGCGGTGTGGAGCTCTGAAGACACAGGACAGATGTCCTCTGAACTGCTCATGCCTAGACCTACCCCGGGCTCCCTCCAGCAGTCAGCTCCTGTCCTGGGCCTGCCTTCCTTCCCGGAGGAGTGGGGGCCCACAGAGCTGCCCTTCCACCGCTATGTGCGGACTCAGAGCACTCATTGCACTCGGTGGGCCGCCGCATAAATGAAGGTTTCTGCAGTATTGGAGGCCAGTCAGGCAAACCGTGTGCTTTCCAACGCAATGGGAATGTGTCGCATCCTCCGTACATCTTGGAGAGCAAAGCCACGATCGGGACGTGTGGGTACATGTGGCAGTGATCGGTTAGGGTGGTCTTTCAAAGCACAGCTTGAAATGCAGACACTTGTCGGCGTCCCCTACGGCAGGTGCCCTATACCTGGAGGCCGCATCGGTCACCTAGATCTGCAAGGCTCACCTGGACCGGAAGCTGTGTTCAAGTGAGGCCAAGTAGCCCAGAGGCCAGCCCGAAGCACTTGTGAACAACGTGAGTCCTTGCTGGGGTCCTCACACCGAGGGGGTACAGCGCCCAGGGTAAGGCCTCAGGTGCCAGGCACTAGCAGCGCTGCCCGCAGGTAGGGAGGAATGTGAGCATCCACTGTGCCGCCCAGGCCCGTGCCCACCCGCGCTCCGGAGCCTGGGGAGGAAGGCTGCACGGCTGCTGCGGGCTGGTACCAAAAAGGTGCGCGCACAGTGTGGGGGCCTTCGGGGTTGGGACGCCCGGCGGTGGGGCCACGGATGGTACAACCCTCTCTCCCCGCCTGCTCGAGGCAGATGGTTTCTCCCGGCTTCGCACACCTCTCCCTGGCGGCAAGGAGCGCGCGGAGGGGGCGTGGCGCGCGCCAAGACCACGCCCCTGCTGCATAGTCATGAGACGGGAAGCTCTGCCTTCGGGGCGGGGTAAGCAGCTCCTCGCGCTAGGGCGCGGCTGGTTGGGGCGGGGCCTGGCTCCGGGTGCGGGCGGGGCTGGAGGCGGGGCCGCCCGCCGCCCGGCCTCCGCCTTCGCTCTCCTCCCCCAGCGCATAGGCCCCGCCCCGCGCCCGCCGCCGCGCAGGGAGGGGCGGGGCTCGCCAGAGACGGGCCCCGCCCCCTCTCTGAATATTGATGCGGCGCGCGTCGGCGTCGCCCTCCTCCCATTGAGCGAGGCTGTGTCGCGTGGCCCAGCGTCGGCGTGACGGTTGGACGCGGGCGCGGCACTGCGGGTCCCGATTGCTGCAGCCGCTTGTCAGTGTGATGAAGATTGGCACCCAGGTAAGCTGTCACTCAACCGCTCCGCCGCCGCCGCCGCCGCTCTCGCCGCCGCCGTCCCTATCAATCACACCGGCCCGCGGCCGCCGCCCGCCGCCGCCGCTGCCGCCCGGGACTGGAGGGCCGGCGTTGCCCCGGAGGGCCCGCACTTGACCCGCCGCCCGGGGCAGGGGGCGGGGAGGGGGCGCGGGTGGGGGAGGGGATCGGGCACCCGGCACCCGCGGGGGTGGGGGCGCCGTCCGCACAGCTGGCGCGGGGGCGCGCCCAGTTGGTTTCTCAGTGTGGGTTGAGGGACGCGGAAATTTCTGGAAGGCGCCGCCGCCGCCGGCTGGGCCCGCTCGAAGCGCGCGCTCCTAACCGTCCCTTTCGGAGCGCGGCGCGCGCCCCTGCGCGGGGTGGGGGCGGGGCGGG